CTGAGGCCTTCCAGCAACACCCACACACCGCCCCCCGCCACCCCCGTGAACACTGCACCATTGTCAATGCAAAAGCAGGCTGCAGCAAGCATCCCTGGCTGTCTCCAGCAAACCAGATCGGCACAAATGTGACATCAGCAGGAGCAAGCCCCTCTTCCCCCGAATTAACTGCATTGGTGCCGAAGCCCAGCACAAGTCTACCATATCCAAGCTACACCCCTCGCTCGCAAAAAAAAAAAAAAAAAAAACCCCAATGCATCATTATCTTTAACACCCATTGCTATGGATCATTAGTTACACATTTTAGCCAATAAGGGAACACTTACCAACGTTGCCTGTCTCCCCCTCTCCCTGTCTCTCTCTGTCTCTCTCTCTCTCTTTCTCTCTCTCTCTCTTTCTGATCCACTGACGCTGCAGCTCAGCTCCACAGAAACATTTTTTTTTTTAAAAAAGGAAAAATAATCATCATAATCATATAAAAAAATAAGAAAGATGGAAACCAAAGCGAAACAGTTTCTTCTCTGCTTGGACAGGGGATGGGGGGAGCTTAGCAAGGCATAGCATGGGGTTTTTTTCCCTAAAAAAGAAAAAAAAAGGAAAAAAAAAAGGTATTTACAACTCCTTCTGCCCCTGTTCACTGCATCGTCCAAAGGAAATATACTGCGTTTTGCCCCTAGGGGTTGAGAAAAGGAAGCAAGCACGAGACGCAGCAGTAAACACATTATATCCCAAAATGCCCAAGGCAACCAACACTTCCAACCCCGAGGAGAGGAAAAAAAAAATCTAGATCTCAAAAAAAATAATAATAATGATGCTAATAATGAGGGGGGAAAAATACCATCCTACCCCTGGCACTGCTTGGACTGTTAAAGGAAGGACTACTGCGAAAGAGTCATAAGAGAAACCACAATAAAAAGTTCACGTTCATGGATGGAGTCCACATGACTTCCTGTGGCCAATCCAACTTGTGATTCAGTCGTAAACTTTTATTGCTTAGCTGTAAATTTTCTGCAAACAACCAGGAATGCATTGCATTTTTGTGACGAGTGCAAATGCTCTCCTCTGTCGCCATGTTTATACAATTCTTTTTTAATATTAGTATTTTTTTTTTAAAAAGCCTTCTCTCTCCCGTCCCCCCCCCCCCCCGCCCAGTTTCATTAAAGGGAACAAATTAATATCGGGGATTTTCAAAGAGGGAGGTTGCCTCGTCACGTCTGAGCTGCCTTGTTGAAGGATCAGCCGGACTTGTTGTTGTTGTTGGGTTTTTAAGGCAGGGAGATTTGGCCTTATGCGCCGTGTTCATTTGGTTAATTAATTAAGTGTGCTAGTGGAATGAACACGAAGGAGACAAAGAGGGGAAATAGGGATATTGCGGGGAATTGAAATAATAATAATCAGCATCATACAATGATCAACCCCTGTTAGATTCAAGCAGAGCTAGGAATAAAGACCACTGAGTTGGGTTGTGGGTTTTCTTGAATTTCCACCAAGGGTGTGTCCGCTTGGATGTCGGGGCTGAGCCCCAATTTCCTTCGGGTTTTCCTCCATATCCTCTGTGCTACATAACCGACCCCTTTAACTCAACACTAAAGATATAGGAAGGATCATATTATTAACCTCCAAAGGGGAGCAGCTAATGCCGTATTTCCCCAGCAATTTCCTTTAAATTTTTTTTGCCTTCATTTTTATGGCGGTATTTTTTTTGTGTATGTGTAATTAATTAATTTCTTCCCAATTATAGGATGCCGTGGTGGGATTCTTTTATTTTTAATCACGACGTGTCTGGAAATCCTAGCTAGAACTTGTCTCTGAGCCCTCATCCCTTTATCGCACAAGGTTGCTGGTGGGGTTTTTTTTTTGGGGGGGGGGTGCATATTTTGTATCAGGAATTATCTTTTTTTTTTATTTTGATATTTGGAGTTGGGGGGTTAGGCCGATATAAGAAAAACAGACATTTGGTGCTAGGGCAAAAAAATGTTGTCATGTAGAGGCCTGCTAGGAGCATGTGACGAGTCCCATAACCTTTGCAAATCGCCCAGCATTCTTAGTTAGATCTGCTAGTTCAGATTAAATGTTGCACTTCTTCCTCCTTCCCCCCCTCCACCCCCACCCCTGAAATATTTTGACCATCTCAACTCGCTTCAGGGCTAGACACAAGAGCCAGGACAAAGATTGGAGAGATAAGACCACCACAAAAAAAAATCACCGCATTTTTGTCGCAATAGTAGGACTCAAGGGCTCTACACATATCCCCCCCCCCCCCCTCTCTGCTCTCGTATTATAGAGAAAGGTCAATTCTGCAGGTATTTCTCATCGCTTTGCCTTTATTTGCTTATTTTCAGCTAAGGGGAGGGGGGTTGCGGGGGGGGGGGGGGTTCCG